GGCCTGGCCTGGCCTGGCCTGACGTTAGGCTGCCAGAGAGCCCCGGGGATGTTTTGCTGTCGTCGGTCTGTAAGGGGATTTATCATTTCCCTACGCGTACGGTAGAAGGCGTTTATTTCACTTGGGTTATGGAAAGACTTAGAGTCATGAAGGGACATAAAGTCACTTTAACTCTTCCTTCAAGCCTAATGCTTTTAGGCAATAAGGTCATCTTCTCCTCACAGCTGGTTCCTCTCTTGCTGTAAATGTGGTTGGTTGTGGCGGTTTTTTTATTGCAACCCCACTGATATTCTAAAATATCACTTAGATGAAACTCCTACTGGCATCATGATGGAATTTGGCTTAAATATCCACGTGATAAAATTTAAATGGAGGATTTGGTCAATAACTTGTGGCAGCAACAAGATTGATATTTCACCAAGATTTTGACTGTCAAAACCAAATGCCATAAGCTTAAATGAAGCCAAGTTTGGTGTATTTTATGCATTACTTCACCAGAATGTTGTTAACCTATGTTACATGTGTTCACTTGCAGGTTGATCAAACATCCGGATCTCTTCAGATACAGCCTGGTTGGCCGGAACTGCTCTTGGCTAGAAGCTATGAAGAAACAGTTTGCATAAGACTTCTACATGACTGAGGCCATGGCATCTTCAACAAACTTAGATACTGGGGCCCAGTTAATTGTAGAAGAATGTCCCACCAGCTACAGCCTTCCACCCATGCCAGACATTAAAGTGGAGCATCAGCTTGACTCTAGCACAGAGGAAGGCCCAGCTCAGAGTGTCGCCATGGGAATGAAATTCATTTTGCCCAATAGATTTGATATGAACGTCTGCTCGCGATTTGTGAAATCTTTGAATGAGGAGGACAGTAAAAACATCCAAGACCAAGTTAATTCTGACCTTGAAGTGGCATCTGTCTTATTTAAAGGTTGAACTTTTTGGTGCAAATTGTTATGTATGGACTGTCTCATCCTGTTAAGCTGTTATGTTTTTTTTTAAAAAAAAAAAAGCTTCTGCCTTTTAATCAGTAATAGTTTTCTAAGATTCGTTCCCCTAACATTTTTATTATGTGCTTAACGGATTATTAATGTAAAATTAATTTCCCCTAAGATTATTTTTTAAATCACATTTTAATTTTTTTTTTAAATTGAAAAAGTAGTGGCACAAAAAGCTTCTAGTGTAATTTAATAAGAGCTGATGCTGATTATGAAAACAAGCTTACTTCTTTTTTTGTAGCATGTCCTACAACATTCTACACATTGTTGAATGTATGTGTCTTTACAGAACACTACTGAAAGCACTATATGATCATTTCAACTTCGGTAGCTTTCTGCAGCACGTTTTATCTTCACTAACACAATGGCAAAATAACATAGGTCATGCGGTTGACTTTGTTTTATCAATACAGCTGTGCAAAGCCTGTAGTTGTAGCGATTGGCTCCAGCTTCACAGTATTTGAAATGAAATGTTGCTGCAATTCTGGATCCCTGCAGCTAACCTCCAGCCATTGCTGGGTAGCTTCATCAGAACTGATCCATGCTTTTTCATGACCGAACATATCGATGGACAACAGAATTAGGACTTCTATCTATTTCCCTTTAACAATTGTGGCTTCCAGCGCTCGCTGTAATATTTCAGACTGTTATAATGTATCTTTTCATGAAGTTGAATTTGACCCATTTCCTATAACAAATACAGACCTATTGCGGATTTTGATGATTTTTCTGATTTGTATTGTTTGGCTGCAGTTCAGCCATTGTAATTTTCAAACTTTTTTGATTTGCAGGCCCTAAGTGCTTACTAGTGGAGCTGCAGACCTGAACGGCAAATTTAGACCCATCAGTGATAGGGTGGTTTTTCTTAGGTAACATTGTGAACCCTTAGAAGTAGTCCTGCGGATCCAAGGACCGCAGGTCAAAAATCCCTGGTAGGTCTATTAATTTGATCATGTCAGCTGTAGCTATTTGATTGGCAAACAAAACATAATTTCATTTTCATCCTGTTACCCTATACTTTTAATTGGTTCTCTCCCCAGATTTGTGCTTGGGTTTATGATCATGAAGTTCTCTATGGTGTGAATTCAGTGTGCATCTTAATTAGCTTATAGTCATTAATTATTAGTGCACACTGGTGTCAAATCAATTTAGCCAATAATGGAGTTTAATTGTTCAATATGTTTTTCCAGTATTTAGTCAGCTGGCTTCTTAAAAATTATTTGGCTTCTCAGCTGCTTCTCAAAACTTACCTTTGAGAGTTAGAAGGCAAGATAACATACATATTTTGTAATAAAATGGTGCTAGATTCTAATAGAAAGCTAGAAAAGTTAGTACAAATGAACACAACAGCACGGAGTGACTTCTTGAATTCCAGGTGGTCACCTGCAGTTGCATTTTACGTAAGTTAGTGTGGAATATCTCTCTTCTGCTGGATGAGTATTCGTAAGGCATTCATAATGCAGTTAGAATTTTATCCAGCAGGAGTGGAAAAAGTCCTGGTGAAGAAAATGAGTGAAGGTCGTCTCCACTCATGCAGTGGACTGGTTAGAGAGTGGGCAAAGGGATGAGCTGAGCAGTTACCTGACTACGTGGCTGACCAGAGCTGCATCATATTATTGCACTGGAGAGTGTTGGTGAGGGTATGAAGGGCTAAATGGAGCCATCCTACCTGATAAATCCATCCCAGGCATGTTGAACGTTCAGACAAAGGCTTACCTCATTTAGCCCCCAGCCTGTCTCTGGGTGATGTTACGCCATACTGAACCTGTGGGGTAGCAGCATTGTTTTATGCCAGAAATTAATACAGCCCTTTATTCAACTCTCACAATACACTGTGGAAAAAGCACATGTCACAAAGCTTCCTTAACTTGTGTTTTAAAGCTCTTGTGATACTGGTGCTTTCTGGTTTGACTTAGAATCTGTGGCTTTCTTTTAATGCTCTTACTAGTACTAAAATCCTGTTTTCTCTGTTCAATGTAGCTGAATGCAACATCCACACTTCTCCTTCCCCTGGTATCCAAGTAAGGCACGTTTATACTCCATCAACTACTAAGCATTTCTCACCAATAAAACAATCAACTACCCTAACTAACAAACACAGGGGAAACGAAGTCTCTACAACGCCTCTGCTTGTAAACTGTAAGTATCTTTCTGTCTTACTGTTGATGATTTTGTGAACTGTATGTTAGATGCTTGACAGATTTTTCCAATTTTTTCCTTGCTGTTGTAATGAACTTTAATACAGGAAGAAAACATTGAGATAGTCTTGTCTAATTTCACGTGGTTCCAACCACAAAATAGTAATCCATCTGCTGTACTGAATTCATGACTGAAGCGTATTTTCCAGAAAGGATCCAATCCTTGATTTAAAAAATATAGGTAAATATTTTTCTGATCCTTTCTAAGCTTTAAGTTAATGTGCTTCATATATCTGCTTTCAGAACTTGTGCGTCTTGTAAAATCTATTAAAATTAGATGATTGGTAAGTGCTACAGACTACAGCAAACTTCAGGATTGTCATGGATCTTGAAAGTCAAGAAAGGCAGTGTTATTTATGGGGTTTTGTTATTCTTAATTGTCAAGCATTTTCTTTATAAATTAATTCTCTGTGATTTACTTCGCCTATAAATTATTTCTTCTATAAATTATAAGTCCAATGTTTAAAAAAAAAAAAAAAAAGGCTGCTTGCATGGGAAAAATTAATCTGGAGCTGCAACGTAGGCCTCTGAACAAAACATGCAGTCTTTCTGGAAAAAAATCAAACTTTCATGTAGTGAATAGGAAGAGGAGAGTTAACATTTGCATATTATGTAACCATTAGCTAATTTTGTTATTATATAATGTGGGTAATGTATTATATATTCCCTCCTGAGCACCTTTGAGACCTGCTCCCAAGTTGTAATTATCAAAACCATGCACCTGTGCAGAGTTTACTGTGGGATCAGAGATTTTTTCATCATAATCTCTTAAGAATTATTCTGCTTTTAATGCTCGGTACTTTTTATTAAAAATGATTTTTAAAACCCCAGACAATCCTTTTCTTCCCCTGGAGATGTCATGTTGTGTATAGTTTTAGTTAATGTCTGATCTATTCCACATTGTAGTGAGTGAGAGTCATGCTACAGGCTTTATTGAGCAGCATGACAGGTCTCCTGATAGCATGTGATCTCTTAGATGTC